AAATGGAACCCCACTTGCATCCATCTTTAAGATGGATGCTTTACACTTTTTGGACCGCATATGTAGTCATGCGGTCCAGGCCAAATGAAACAATTTTCTTTTTTATAATGTTTTATGTGGTCAATTTTAATGAAAAGAGAAGAATAGATATTAGATAACTAATCTTTAAAGAGAGAGGGAGAGCGCTCATTTTGGGAATTTTCTCTCTCTCTACAGCAAAATTCCAAAGTCCCTAGGGCTTTTCTCTTGCGATTTTCCTCAGCGAATCCGGCCATAGGTCTGCCTTCCTTTAAAGTCCAAGTAAGCGTATTTCACTGCTTTTTAATTGCTTAATTTATTGTTGAAAAAATAGGTAAAAGTTATCTTTTTCCTTTTTTTTTTTTTTTGTGTTTTCCTGGTTTTGCAATATATCTTCTTAAGAGCCTTGAATATTTTTTTGGAAAATGGGGTTGGGGTCGTGGTGGTAGTACCACTTATGCCCCAGCTAAGGTCTAGGTTTTCATTCTCACTTAACACATTCAAAAAATCACTAATGTTTTCGAAAAAATGGGTAGGCGCTCTTCATCCCCACTGAATTACCCAAAAAAAAAAGCCTTGAATCTTTTGATTTGTGATCATCCAATCAATCCAATATCCATTATCTGGTAGTGCTTTTTGATAGTTATGCCCACATGGAAATGCTTTTTCTTGGGTTTTTACATGCCATTTGTGTGCTTTTTTCTGTGGTCTCTCTATCTAAAACTCATTGCCATTTTCTCCGAGTAAGACTTTTCTATTTTTAACCTTTTTTTTTTGATAAATGATTGAATGAACTTTGAAGTTGATATTATTACTTTATTAGGGGAAGTTGATATTATTACATTAATGGGGATATTTTGATCTAGGGATAATTGGATGGTCCTCTGATATTAGGAATATCTAATTTTAAGCTTTTATGTAATTTATTGTGCTGATTTTTCAAAATAGAAATACCAAGCAGGAAAGAGATTTAAAAGTTGTTATGAATAGTAGATTAAAATTTAGTTACTTACTTGAATGTTTCTGGCTGTTCCATATTTTTCTTTGTTTTCCCCCTTTTTCCTTATTTTCTAGATCTATATATATATATAAAATTTAGTATACCGTTAGTTTGGCCAGTCCAATTAGACTGGTGGCCTCACCGTTTAGTCAGCTGTCGGTCCCGACAACACTGAGATAAGTACCACTTTAAGTGGACGTAGAATGGACAGATTACTGCTTTGCTTTAAATTTAGTGGAATTTATTGCATAATTGTTGCCTTGTAACTTTCACTATTCAGTTGTTCAACGAGTTCACATTCAGTGTGTGTAAATCTGATATCATCCTGAACAAAAATCAGTTGGAATAGATGATGTAATTCAATGTTAACGGAGAGATAGCATATATATATATATATATTATTATCTTAAATAAGACAACCTGCATAGGGTTTAATGGAAATGCCCCAAATGGAGGCAGGAACATCATATCTTCGATGGTTGCCCACATTTTCCTAAGTGGGATACGGCCACCAATTTTGGCTGTATTTGCTTTAAATTCTGTACAGAAAATGGGACTCTTTGCCCGTGCCCAAGAGTGAACACTTCAGAGTTCTGAGTTTCAAAACTATGGGCTTATGCATCCTACCCCTTGATGATCTGTTAAACCTTAACCTTGAGAGCAGCTTGTATTCTCAAGGGTAGGGGCAGTTGCGTGAGAATGTCATATGGGCATTTAATGAACTTTCTCAAGCCCTTGGGATTTTTGCAATTTGATGATTGATGACCACATCACTTTTCTGTTGTCCTGAAAAGTTACCCCCGCAATCATAAGATGAGCGAGTTCTAGATCCAAATTTTCTTGGTGGGTAGGTGAAGAGATTTTGATTTTTTTGGGTCGGTAGCCGACATCATATAAGAGATTTTGAAATTTTTGTCAGAAGGAAGTGATTACCATCTCCCCCACACATTATGAAACCAATTCAGATGATGACTTGCTTGCGATTATTCACTTATTGTTTTCTCTCTCCTTGTACACTGTGTTCAACTCGCGTTTATTCACTTTTTTTTTTTTCTCTCCTTGTACACTGTGTCCACTGGTGTATGTGCCTGCGTGTGTGTGTGTGAAAAGAGGGGTCTGAGGAGTCAACTTTCTTCATTAAATCAAATAAGTTATGGGCATTGACAGTGGTTGTGTGTTGTGAGTGACAAACATGCGTAACATGATCAAAGGATGGTACTGAATCGAGAGATTAACAGAACATGACTGTGGAAGTGCTATTGAACCATCCAAAAATAAAATGCTATGATCGAATGCTCTTTCTTTTTCCATTCATTTAGTTATTTTTCTCTGCTGTCAGCCAATTCTTCTCATTTTCTCTAGTATGCCTTTATATACAGGAAAGAGGGGTCTTGGGGGTCAAATCTCTTCGTAGCTATAGCTCTTGATTCGGAGTATTAATTATGAAGATGGTTGAACGCATTGCGAATCTTGCATTAGCAGGTACCTCCTTTCGGTTGTTTCCTTTCTGGGTTGCCCTACATTTGCTTCATATTTTCATTGCAAATTAGATTTGTTGTTTAATCTTTGCTAATGATATCTACCAGAGCACATACGTTTACATTCATTTTTTCAATTTTTTTCCCTAAACCTCTTTTGCCTTATTGAAGGTTCATTGGTTCAAAATTGGGTCTTTTTTACTGCAAAATGATATGCAATATATAGTTTTACTGGGTCCATGTGCATTTGTAGTGACATACATCGATAGTATTTTAGTTTGACATAATAAACTGTTTATTCAAGGACTACGCTTGTACTTGCCATAGTGTTCCTGAGTGTACTGGATCATAGAATTCCTATTTTCTTCATCTGGATCTTCTACAATGAAATGCTCCACCTTTTATAGTTCTTATGGTAGATGAGGCATTGAGGAACTTCCTCATGTAATTTATTTTTGTTCTCGACTGATTACTAAAGGACATAGAGAAAGTAACTTTGTGACCAGAATTCTTCCAACGTAGAATACCTCAAACCCTCTCTACGAACTCACAGTGGTTTGGTTACTTCTTTTTAGGCAATGGTAGATGCAAAAGTTTGTCTTCTTATTCTTCCCTACCTTTCCCTGATCTTAGATTGTCAAATTTGAAAAAAGGTTGATTCTTCGCAATTTTGCTCGCTGCAGTTGTTGACTGTAAATCAAAGCCTGTTGGAACTAAACTGATTACTAGTGAACTTAGAAAGTGTTTGGTGGGGGGGGGGGGGGGGGGGTGGGTTGTGTGTGTGTTATGATGAACAAATATATTTTAGATTGGTCATGGCTATGGGATGGACAATGAAGAATCGGGAGATTTTGAAGTGAGTTTCTTCCCTTGAAAAGATGTACATGTTCTGGTATTAGATGAATAAAATGTTTTTGGCTTGTCAAACTTTGTCAATATATTTTGTGATTTATGTAGGCCAATGTTAAGAAATAGATTAAAAATCTTCAAAGTAGATGGTGTATTAGTATTTAACCCCCGCCCAAAAAAAAAGGAAAGAAAAAAGTCCAGTGTTGATGCTATTGGCTTGTTCTTGGTCTGACCTGGTTTTAGGAAGTCATTTAAAACCGGCATTTGCTCGTCCATGCTACACTAGTTTGCTCCCTTTCCTCACATGTGCCAGCGAATTTTTCTCCGTCTGCTTCTTGGATCATGTGGCGGGCCTATCAACCACCCTGATGATCTATTCCATGAGGGTACTTATCCTCTATAAATTCCGCTCTTGCCCACCTAATGATATTCATTTATTCGGGAAAGCATATTCTACCATCAAGGGACTCGAGAAGGACCAAACCAACTATCTAACAATTTATTGGAGTTCTCCCTTGAAACTTAGTAAATTCCCATTTACTCCCTTTCCCTTTAGAGGACTTGTGAACCCTGCTCTACTGATCTCTTGGTAGATCTCTCACTCCTACTGGGCCATGTTTCCTTACATCCAGGACCGAAGGAGAATGCACAAAATGCCCATTCATCAAAAACATTAGAAAGAAAAGACTATCCTCATTCAAAGGAGGCGTTCTTTATTGCGCACACTATAGTTTCATGCTTTGTGCTGCCCAAAAGTGCATGTCGGCACGTGTGTGTGTTTCTATGTGACAGCCAGAATGAGTTTCAGTGGCATCTTTGGACGCCACGTGTTACCCTCATTTTGGTGTGCATGTATAGCTAAAATGCTGCCGCTTTGTGAATGAAGGAAATCTGAAATTATGAGTTTTCACCCAAACGTAAAAGTGGTGCTTATGATGAAACTCCATACGAAAATTCACACAAACACATGCAGTGGCCAAACAAGCGGGACAATCATTGCATTAAAAGGCAGCAGGCCTTGAAAATGTGAAAACTTGGAAGGTTGAACAGAAGATTTGATGTAGTTCTGTGCATTATAATGCTGTATGACACATTTCGACAAAAAGCAAATTTGTTGGAACATATTATGATCTGTTGGTTTTTATAGTGCACATTATTAAGAAATTTTTTTCTGCTTAACTTTTTGAGAGCTGAGGCCTTTTTTTAATTTAACAAATCATCTTCTGCAAGCAGATTAATAAGGTTAATAAGATTTCTAAGTCCTTACAGGTTTGTCAGTTGCACCCCTTGTTGTCAAAGTCGATCCAAATATTAATGTAGTTTTGACTGCATGCCTGACTGTTTTTGTTGGTTGCCATCGCTCTATCAAGCCAACACCACCTTCAGTAAGTGGAATTTACAGCATTATTTATTTTATTTTGAGCTTTTTTTTTTTTTTGAATGCTGGTTATTGAATTCTTGATTCTTGAGTTAAACATGGCTTTTCGTAATGCCTGTAGGAGACGATGTCAAAGGAGCATGCCATGCGATTTCCTTTGGTTGGCAGTGCAATGCTTTTGTCGTTGTTCTTACTCTTCAAATTCTTGTCGAAAGACTTGGTTAACGCTGTACTTACATGCTACTTCTTTGTACTTGGGATCATTGCCCTCTCGTATGTGTTATCTGAATGCACTTATATGATTTTGTCATTAACTATTAGATTTGGAATTATGTTCCAACATTTGCTATGTTATCTGATGTCATAATGTATTGACTTCGCAGTGCGACATTGTTACCTGCAATAAAGCGATTTCTTCCGAAACAATGGAATGACGATGTCATTGAGTGGCATCTCCCGTATTTCCATTGTATGTTGTATCCCTTGTCTGTCCTTTTCTGATTTACTTTGGAGATCCATTTGGCAATCTTTCAGTTTTAGACTTCTTGTTATTTTTCTCTAAATTATTTGTGGTTTGCACTACTTAAATGCTTCTTGAAGTGTCTTTTGTCTTCTTGTGAAGTGGTCAGTGTGGTATTGACCTTGTTAATTTTTAGAAATATTATTAACATTATTATGTAGTTAATACCCCTAGTAAAGGGTCAGTCCTTGAATTATGCCAGGTTGGAAAAAGAAAATTTGATGACAAAATCGAAGTAGGCTGGGAATTCATTTCTTTTTTTTGGTTTGTACTTGCTTAAACCGAACCTAAATAGTTGGGAAAAGGCTCTGATGATGATGACAACTTGTTTAAAATCTTCATCAGTTGATTACCTTCTTTTGTAAGGGTGCTTTGATGATTAATCTGTTGTTCGTCTTGTATCATGTGGATTGTACTGTTTGTATGTTCTTTGGAAAGTTATCATAATCCTTGGAATTAGTTTAAATTTGGAATTAGTTGTAATCTGTACACATTCTTTACTCAGCTGTTGGAGTGGAGTTTACAAAGTCTCAGGTTGTTGCGGCAATTCCAGGAACCTTTTTTTGTGTTTGGTATGCCTTGAGGAAGCATTGGCTTGCGAACAATATATTGGGTTTAGCATTTTGCATTCAGGTTTGTAGATGTTCCTGCCTATGATTTCACATTTTGTATATGGGTTTAATGAGCCTTCGTTGCTTGACAAGTAATGTATTTCTGCTTAATATTCTCATGGATCACAATCATAGCACTTGCTCGCTTTTTCTTTGATGATATGTTTGTAGATTATTATTTTTATTTTTGAGTATGTTCACTAGATTATTCTTTTTCTTCTTCATCATATGGACATCCTTGAATGAAGTTTGATTTATCCACATACTCTGAGAGTTTTACGCTTTAGAAATTTTTTCATTAGCTCTCAAAGATGAAGATTTCTCCAATTCCCTTAAGCCATTTTGACATGGCATGCAGTAGATGCTTTATATAATGACCATCCTCCTTTTCCTATTGGTGATTCCATATTCACCTATTTTGGTCCTACCCATCTCGTCTTGGTTATTGGGTGGGGATGGTTAATGATAAAGATTTAAATGACCTAATAGTCCCCAAAATTAAGGTGCAGCAATTTTGTTTCCCTCAAGGATCTTGCAGTCAAATGGCCTTATGAGTCGCGGCTTGGTGTTACAATTCATTGCCCAACTGGCTTGCCGGAGATCACCTCAAGTTATGCCAGGAGCGGTGGGGAAATGGGAGAGGACACTGTTTTGGTTCCTGGAAGGACCAAAAGTCATCCCTATTCTTAAATGCATAAAATTTGCCTTCTAGATAGTTATTTCTGGGGACATACTACTGTTTTATGTGGAAAATCTGAGTTCCTTCTTGTGGTGGCTGGTTCTAGATGCACATCTGATTCTCTTATCCACTGCCATCTATACTATATTATTAAGCTGTAGTTAAAGGTTGGACATGTGTCGCAAGAATGGAAGGGAATCCTATCCCTAGAGAGGTGGTAGGGCATGTGACCTTGAAAGAGAGGGAGTTAAGGGCGAACTATATAAGGGTAAATGGGGGGTTTTTAGAGATAAACATAATTGTTTTCTAATATAAGGTATAGAAAAGCATAAATTACCATAATGAATACTAACTTGATTGTGAAAGTATTGTTTCATATTTTTATTATATTATTAATGATCACAAATAACATAAAATTTGCCTTCTAGATACTTATTTCTGGGGACACTATACAGTTTTTTGTGGAAAATCTGAGTTCCTTCTTGTTGGTGGCTGGTAGTAGATGCACATCTGATTCTCTTATCCACTGCCATCTATAGTATATCATTAAGCTGTAGTTAAGGGTTGGACAGGTGTCGCAAGTACGGAAGGGAATCGTATCCCTGGAGAGTTGGTAGGGCATGTGACCTTGAAAGAGAGGGAGTTTAGGGCGAACTATACAGGGTAAATGGGTTTTTTTGAGATAAATATATTTGAATATAAAGTATAGAAAGATAAGCATAAATTTACTTACCCAAAAAGAGACAAGTATAAATTACCATAATGAATACTAACTTGATTGTAAAAGTATTGTTTGATATTATTATATTATTAATGATCACAAATCACGTAATATATGATAGCATACTCGCACACTCGCACCCTCGATTAAATATATAATAATAAACATTCTAAACGTTATGATATATCGGTAAAACCCTACTACATAAATCAAGATAATATTGTACTATGAATGCCCTGATAATTATTACCATAGGGGTCAGCTGATTATAATTAATAGTTTTAACTATGTTCATCAATAAAAAGAAACCATAAAAACTTAATAAGCTCAGAAGGTAGCTGCCTTTCTATGGTTTTCAAGCACCCTTTAAGAAAGTTCTTTTCTCATCGCATCCACGAGCGGTTGTGATTCTTCACTGAAGCTAGAGGAGTCTGAGACGAGCCAGCACCGAAGATCAAACTCTTGTGGACATGCCGCCCTCCAAAGGTGTACAAATTTTCAAATCCCTATGGTATAGGGTAAAACATATTATGAACACTGGGAGCAAAAGTTTGTCCACTATGACATATTATTTAAATATCATGTTATGAGTATGCACCGTTAACTCTCTATGATATATAATTTTAACATAAATATACCAATAGGATTTAAATTGTCATATTAAATGATTCTATTATAATTATTATCAGAATAATCATGGTAATGAGGATTTTTATAAGAGTTACCAATATTACTATAGATGAATCATAATATACTGTAATCTAATAGTTGTTATATAAATTCTGTCACGATTAAATTATTGAAGACGCAAATATCTTGTTCCTTAAGATACATGCACATTATAATTAAAATGATCAAAATATTATAGGAGATTACATTTTTCTCATATTGTACTATGCGTATATCTTCATTATTCTATAATAGTAATTTCTAATCATACAAATCACCATTACTTAGTTAATGGTAATCAGTGCATAGTATGAATTCATTGATATTAATATCTTATAATTTCAAATTATTATTGATCTATGCTTTTCCTAATAATATCCCATTTGTTTCTCATAAAGATTTTCATGATGAAATGATTTCTCTTTCTACCAGTTTTTTTTTTTTTTTTGCATGCATGATTATGCATGGTATGTACATTACTTCTTGAAAGTAATTTTTAGAAATATGCAATTTTCTTATAAGATGATGCACAAAGAAGAGAAAATCTGATAGTTTCTTGAATGATTGAAATTAAGTGGGTCCCAAAGCCTCATTTTTTTTCTTTACCGGTTTCTCTAAGGTTGTTTTTTATAGTTATTTTATGAACTCAGCATACTTTAAGAGTGAGATTCAAATAACGAGGGAAAGAGATTTTTAGAAAGAAAAATGGTGAAAATATTGCAAAAGAAATGATGTAGGGAAGATAGGAAACAAAGAATTAAAATAAAATAATAATAAATGGTGAAAGAATAAAGTCTCTCTCAGGGTCTGGAAGGAAATCTACCCCAAAGATTTCTTCACAAGACCAAAAACATATTCTTTCTTCACATGATAAGGCCCCTCTCCAAGAGGGCGCTTATCCCTTTAGATCAAGAATTTAAGTAACTAAAACCCCCTAGAAAGCTCCTACGAAATCCTAGCCATCCATTTTATTTAATCCTAACCCCTAATAAAACAAGAAATAACAACTAAAATAAAAAGAACAATCAAACACAATAAAAACTTACTAAACCCAAATAACCTAAAGTAGAAGACTACTAAAAGTAAGCTGTAAATCCCCAAAATATAACCCTTAATTCTCGTAAGTAAAATCCGTAAAAAAAGGCCAAATTAGGCCATCCCATACCTGCCTCAATCTCCTCTGGTTGGAGAATATTCGTCCTCGAGTTTCGAAGAGGGTTAAGATGAAATCTAAATTAAATCTACATCCTTCTTTTGCCTTTCTTGTTTTGGCTCTGAAAGAATGAATGTGATACAATCGAGATTATTGGAGCGAGATTATTGAGCTGGATTTTTTATGGAGCTGTCGGATCTCGGTCAGAAGTAGTGTTAAATTAGCAATTATTTTATTTTATTTTTTTTACTTTTCTCTTTATTTTTTAAACAAGTTTTATTTTAGTAAGATGTTTTTTATTTTGGAAGGGTTAATCGTTCTTTTTAGTAGGTCTAAATTTTTCTTTTTTTACATGAATTTTAAGAGATAAGGGCACTGGCGCCTGCAGTGCCCCTCTGGCACTGATAGACCAACGCCTTCGTCTATCACTTGAATTTGTTGATTCATGGTGTCGAGTGCTTGCACTTGAGATCCTATGACTCGACCAGTAGATGGTGGCCATTGTTGGTCGGGAATAGATTAGGTTGCGGTAAAGATGAAGATGTGTTTCTTTTGAAAGGGTAGGTCTTTAGAGAGCTAAAGCTCTTTTAGAGAGATAGGCCATCACGTTTTTTTAGTACAATGATGTTTTGGTGGGATAAAAAGGTGCACGTAAATATGGGGGATGGAATTTGGTGAATGAAAAAAGTAAGATATCGGAAGTGAAAGAAGCTTTGAAGATGGGAAAGGCTTTAGGATCATTGGTATCTTGTCCGAGGTTTGGAAGTGCATGGGGGAGATCGGTATTGACTGGCTAACCAAGTTGTTCTATAAGGTGTGGGAACAAAGAAATTGCCAAATGAATGGAGGAAAAGTATTGTGTTACTTATCTACAAGAACAAGGAGGCATACAGAATTTATACAAACCATCGAGGGATCAAATTTATGAGCCACACTATGAAGCTATGGGAGAGAGTGACTTAGCAATGACTAAAGCATGAAATGAATGAATTAAAAAATCAACTCTTTTTATCCCACGGATGTCAACAATTGAGGCTGTTTTCCTACTTAGGCAACTGATTGAGAAGTTTTGGACGAAGGAAAAAAACCTCCACATGATTTTTATTGATCTAGAGAAAGCTTATGAATGACATTCCAAACAGAAAACAGAAAGATATTAAAGCCAGAAGAAATTAAAACATTAGGTGGATATAAACATCAAACGGAAGACATGCTGAAAGCAAGAACAACAGATGAAGAAAGAAAGCAAGCACACAAGAACTACAAGGCTGAGAGGCTCTAGAAGCACCCTGCCGTTTACAATGCCTCATGAGGCCTTTTATAGACTCCGGACGTGAAAGCCGGACTTCAAATAAAATTAAAAGCAAACAACTTGGCCAGGACAGCTGGCATCTGGAAACAGTAAAAAGTGAACAGTACAAAGCAAAAGTATATCTACAGTAACAGACAGGTGGGTCTGACAGAATAGTGTTCCACAGTGTCTGCCGACAAAATAGTGCTCCACAGTGTCTATCGACAAAATAGTGCTGCCGACAAAATAGTGATCCGCAGTGTCTCAGTCTGTATCTGGATACATGTCGTATGGATAACCGTTTGAGTCGTAGCTTCCTGCAGATGGGCTATGAGAAGGTCCACTGTATGAGTCATCACTTGAGCTATCAGTTGGTGCATCTTCTGGTGGTGGATGGTCAGCAAGCCAATGGTAAAGTTGGTGGAGTAAAGCTGCTCCTCGAGGGGCATTCCATACTTCTTGTCCTGTATAAACATGCAAAGGAATAGTGTCTAGAGAGACTCTGTTAA